GGGGGGGTTTGCCTAGGGGGGACTGGGGATGGGACAGGCTGAGACTGACCCATCCCTGGTGGCCTCCAGAAGAGGTGGCATCAGTGACTCACAAAAGCTGGCCCTGGACACCTATGGTGAGGTTGGATGGGGAGAAGAGGGCTAGGGCTGAGTGAGGGGCAGGCACTTGAGGTACCATGCAAGTGGCCAAGGCACAAGGGCCTTGTCCCTTGGGGGTGGGGGGTGAAGGCAGCTCCAGATGGAGTGAGCCCTAGAGGGTCCAGCCTGCATCTGGACAAGAGGCTATGTCCAATTAGTTCCAAACACCTCTCCCGGGTGGCACGGGACTCCTGGCAGGGCATCTAGAAGGATCCTGGGGGGTTGAGGGCACCGAGTCCCACGGCTGCTGCCTGTACCCAACTTCTCTGGCTTGCCGTGTGCAGCCTGAGCCCCACCCTGGCTGGGCTGTGCACGCATCCCCCCCTGCCCCCCCCCCCCCCGTCCTCATGGCCCTGGTTCACAGCCCTCACTCACCATGCGCCCATTGGGGACCCCCAGGTGCTTCGGTTTCCCTGGCATCCCGCCGCGGATCACGGGTCCCCGTCTGGGGGGCCACCCACCATGGGGGGGGGAGGACCTGTGGGCAGTGCCCGCCTGGAGGCTGGCACTGTGCAGGGCGGGCGGCGGCCAGAGTCCTGCCGTGCTCTGGCGGGCCCTCACATCCTGAAGCAGCAGCTCACTACCTCTTTTCTCTGCCACAGGAAGTGTTTCTATAGAAACCAAACCACAGAAAGCAGCGAGGTCTAAGAGAGAGAGAGAGAGAGAAATAAACGCCTCTTCGTACACACCCGCCACGTTCACGCACGCACACACACATGCCACCAGCACAGGCATGAAGACAGGCATGCGCCACCTGTGCCTAGCACGGTGCCTGGCTCAGCCCAAGGGGCCCCGAGGTCCTGTCTGAGCACGCTGATGTCCGTGGACCCAACACTAGGCAACTTTGAACCTGGCACCCAGCATATGCTTATCTCAGATCTACTATGTCCAGGATGTGTGTGTGTGCTCAGTACCCCTGCAGGTACTGTGCAGGGTTCATGTGCAACCTCATCTCCTGCAGGTTTAGGCTGTCACGCATGCACGTGCTCAGGTGTGCAGAGACAGGTGGACTCCGTGTGTGTGTGTGTGTGTGTGTGTGTGTGTGTGTGTGTGTGTGTGTGTGTGTGTGTGTGTGTGTGGTCCTGGAGCTTTACCTTATGGTCTGGCCACTGTCCCTGAGCTTCTATGCTCAAGGTTAGTGCTCTATCACTTGAGCTACAGCACCACTTGTGGATTTTTCTTCTCTTCAGTTGTGGGGCTTGAACTCTTAGACCTGGGTACTAACCTCTGAGCTTTTTGCTCAAGGCTAGAGCTCTACCATTTTGAGCCAAAGCATCACTTCTGGTTTTCTGGTGGTTCATTGGAGATTTCTCATGGACATTTTTGCCTGGACTGGCTTGAACCATGATCCTTAGATCTCAAACTCCTGAGTAGCTAGGATGACACGTGTGAGCCAGGAGCACCTGGCACTTCTAGAGGTTTTGATGTTTCACTAGAGATAAGAGTCTCACAGACTTTCCTGTCTGGGCTGGCTTTGAACCTTGATCCATAGAGATCAGCTTCCTGAGTAGCTAGGATTATAAGTGTGGGCTACTAGCATCCAACAGGGCCTTATGTTCTTGCTTTATTTTTTTACTCCAAGGCTGGTACTTTACCACTTGAACCACAGCTTCACTCTCAGCTTTTTGATGGTTTATTAGAGATAAGACTCTCATGGGCTTTCTTGTCTGTGACTGGCTGTGAACCATGATCTTCAGATCTCAGCCTTCTGGAGTAGCTAGGATTCTAGGTGTGAGCCATGGTGCCCAGTTTTCTTCCTAGTTTTCAAATGGCCAACTTTTTGCTGTGTCTTCCTGTGCCAGTGAGCAGAGAAGAAAGCATGCTCTCTCCTGTCATGTCTTTTTTTTTTTGCCGGTCATGGGGCCTGAACTCAGGCCTGGGCACTGTCCCTCAGCTCTTCAGCTCAATGGTAGCACTCTACCACTTGAGCCACTGCACCACTTCTGGCTTTTTCTGCTTATGTGGTGCTGAGGAATTGAACCCAGAGCCTGATGCATGTAAGACAAGCACTCTACCACTGAGCCATCTTCCCAGCCTACTCCTGTCGCGTCTGATGTGGGCGCTAATCCAATCATAATGGACTCCCTCCTCATAATTTAATTGGCATCAATAGGCTCCATCGCTAACACCCCCAAATACTATCACGTTAGGGGTTAGTGTTTCAATAATCAAGGATAAAAGGATTTTTCCCCTTCTTTCTTTGGGGATAGCTTCTCATTATGTTCGGTAGGCTCTCCTCAAACTCTTGGGCTGAAATGAGCTTCCTGCCTCAGTCTCATGAATTGGCTTCTTTTTCCTTTTTTTCCCTCCTCCTCCTCTTCTTCCTTCCCCTCCTCCTCCTCAACCTCCTCCCTCTCCACTGAGGATTGAACCCAAGGCCTTGTTTATGGTGGAGAAGCACTTTACCACTGAGCTACATTCTCAGCCCTAGTCTTTCAACAGATGAGTTGGAGGAACTCTAATTTGGATTTTTTTTTTTCAGTAACTACTAGGCATGAATTCAGGGCTTGTGTGTGTCCCTATTTTTTTATGCCTAAAGCTAGCACTCTACCACTTGAGCTTTTTAAAGGTGGTTAATTGGAGATTAGAGTAGCACAATCTTTCTGACCTGGGCTGGGCTTCAAACTGTGATCCTCAGACCTCAGCCTCCTGAGTAGCTAAGGATTACAGGTATCAGACACTGTGCTCAGCTTAGTTTGGATCTTAAATGTCTCCTATGTGTTAAAGGTACCGTGTCTCTCTCTGGCACTAGAGACTGGGTCTATGGGGAGAAAGTCCCCATAAGAAGAGACTCCCCTTAATAAGGATATTGGGACCCTAGTTCCTTCCTTGCTTTGTTTCTTGATTGTCATGAGGCAAAAAGGTTTCCTCAGTTGGGCACCAGTGGCTCACACTTGTCATTCTTGCTCAGTCAAGAGACTGAGATCTGAGGATCATAGTTCAAAGCCAGCCTGGGCAGGAAAGTCCATGAATCTCTTATCTTCAATGAACCACCAGAAAACCGGAAGTGGCACCATGGCTCAAGCGGTAGAGCGCTTGCCTTGAGCTGAGGAGCTGAGGGACAGCGTCCAGGCCCAGAGTTCAAGCCCCACAACCACCACCACCACCACTAACAACAACAAAAAGGCCTCCTCAGCCATGTGGTCCCACCATGATCTATTAGGACCCCCACAGGCCAAAGCAACAATGGCCATGGACCAACACCTCTGAAACCGTGTTCTACAACATGCTTACCTTCTTATAAGTGATGAAGGCCGAGCCTACACAGAGGTATGCAAATATTTAGTTTATTACTAGTACCCTCACCCCTCCTTAGCCCTATGAAAGGATCCAGATGAACTTGGATCCTTTAACCTGTCATCAAGGTACCTAACTTTTTACACATTTATGTTCCCTCTACAAGGATTTAACATTTAATTTACTTTTTGTGCTGGTCATAGGGCTTGAACTCAGAGCCTGGGGCACTTTCTCTGAGCCTTTGTGCTCAAGGCTAGCATTCTACCACTTGAGCCACAGAGCCACTTCCGGCTTTTTCTGTGTATGTGGTACTGAGGAATCGAACCCAGGGCTTCATGCATGCTGCTAGGTGAGCACTCTGCCACTGAGCCACATTACCGGCCCCACAGTTAACTGATTTTGGATCCTTCTTCCTTACAGAGGTCTCCTTGGTCCTCTCTCATCCAGTCACCAAGAATTCAGTCTTCTGCCAATCTACTCTTCAGTCTTGACACAGTTTTTTCTTTTTCTTTCTTTTTCTTTTCTTTTTTTTTTGAACTCTGGGCCTGGGCGCTGTCTCTCAGCTCTTCAGCTCAAGGCTAGTGCTCTACCCCTTTGAGCCACAGCACCACTTCCAGTTTTCTGGTGTTCACTAGAGATAAGTGTCTCATGGACTTTCCAACCTGGGCTGTCTTGGTACTGTGATCCTCAGATCTCAGCCTCCCGAGTAGCTAGGATGACAGGTGTGAGCCACCAGTGCCCAGCTCAACATAGGGTTGCTTTTTTTTTTTTTTATTTTACTTTTGAGATGAAGACTCCATAAATAGCCCAGGCTTGGAAAAAGCCACCATCAGGAATCCCTAAGTTCAAGACTGGCCAAAACAAAAACAAAACAAAACAAAAACATTTTGTAGGGGTAATCCTACTCATTTCAATTCAGTTGCAGCCCCTGGACCTCATGTGGGAATATAGACCTAGATTTTCCAATTGTGTGTGTGTGTGTGTGTGTGTGTGTGTCCGTCCTCAGGGTCTGGGTGGTATCCCTGAGCTTTTTCACTCAAGGTGCTCTACCATTTGAACCACAGCACCACTTCTGGCTTTTTCGTAGTAGTTTACTGGAGATCAGCGTCTCACGGACTTTCCTGCCCAGGCTGGCTTCGAACCGTGATCCTCAGATTTCGGCCTCCTGAGTAGCTGGGATGTCAGGCGTTGAGCCAAGGGCCCTTAACTGGGGCTTGTAAAGAGGTGTGTGAAAGTAGCTCGGAGATGAGCTTAGGGACCGCTTAAAGGTCCGCCCCGGCTACCCGAGGTGGCTCAGGATGGAGACCTCCTTCAGAGCCGCTGCCACCCCCGACGCCCGGGCTGGGAAAGCTCACCCTGAGGCCTCACCTGCGGCCAGAAGCCCGGCGCGGGACAGTCCGCGGGCCCAGCGGCCGCGCGCAGCCCTGGGAACTTCAAGTTCCAGGATGCTCCGCTCCCGAGGCCACGCCCTTCCGCGGCCGTCGCTCAAATCATTCCTCCGCTCCTCATTGGCTCCCAGGCCTAACGTGCTGCTCCGTGATTGGTCTCCGGTCTTGTCACTCTAAGAGCTCATTGCCGAGGCCCGCTGACAGGGATTTAGGAACCTCCAAGATGATGGGAAGGCCCTCGGCCCGGATGGGGGGCTGTCCGACCCCTCCGTCCGCGGCCCGCTTCGACTGCGAGGCTTTGCCTTTTAACTCCTCGGCAACCCCGGGGGTTAGAAGGCTTCCGGCCGGAGGCCGTTAGAGAGCACACCCGGAAGGCGGAAGTCGAGGGGCGGAAGTGGCCCAGAGGAGACGAGGATGGCGGCCGAGCGCTGGTTTTGGCGCTGGGGCTGGGGCCCGCGGTGCCCGGGGAGGCCTGGGCTTCCTGGCCCCGGCCCCGGCCCCGGCCCCGCCACACTTCTCCATTTCCTTCTGTTGCTCGGGTCGGTGGCTGCCGACATAACCGACGGCAACAGTGAGCACCTGAAGCGCGAGCATTCGCTCATCAAACCCTACCAGGGTGAGGCCCGAGGCGGGAAGGGGTGAGGCCGGGGCCGGGCCGGGCCGGGGCCGGGCGGGAAGGGGTGAGGGGTGAGGCCGGGGCCAGGCTGGGGCTGGGGCCGGGAGGGAAGGGGTGAGGGGTGAGGCCGGGGCCAGGCTGGGGCTGGGGCCGGGCGGGAAGGGGTGAGGGGTGAGGCCGGGGCCGGGGCCGGGGCCGGGCCGGGCCGGGGCCGGGCGGGAAGGGGTGAGGGGTGAGGGGCAGGGCGGGCAGGGCGGGCCCTGTCTGCTGCGCAGGGCCGCCCGGTGGATTTCTGGCTCCCGGTGCGGCCCCCTGGCACGGCCTCTCTGCGACACCTGCCGTCTGCCCGTCTCCGCCCGCAGGAGTGGGCTCCAGCTCCATGCCACTCTGGGACTTCCAAGGCAGCACCATGCTCACCAGCCAGTATGTGCGACTGACCCCCGACGAGCGCAGCAAAGAGGGCTCCATTTGGAATCACCAGGTGAGAGGGCTTTCCACGGCTGGGCACGCTCCCGTTCAGTGAGCTGCCCTCCACCCTCCCCCCGTCCGGGTCTGAGCTTGCTTGTATATACTTGTCCCCCTTCTCTATCTTGGTTACACTAGTAAGAAGAGGTAAGTTATTGTTGTCAGGAGCTGGACTTGAGTTTGTACTCATGTGTGTGTGTGTGTGTGTGTGTGTGTGTGTGTGTGTGTGTACACATCCTGGTCCTGGGGCTTGAACTCAAGCCCTGGGCATTGTTCCGGAGCTTTTCCATTCAAGGTTGGCGCTCTACCACTTGAGCCACAACACCAATTAGTCAAAGATAAAGAGTTTCATGAACTTCTCTTGGCTGGTGGCAAACGGTGATCCTCCGATCTCAGCATCCTGAGTAGCTAGCATTACAGGCATGAGCCACTAGTGTCAGACTTTTTACACTTATTTCTTTCTGTGTGTGGTGCGGGGGGGGGGGGGGGGGGGGGGGGAGGGGGATGGGGGTGTTTGCTTGCACTGGAATTTGAACTCAGGGCTGTACACTTTTTTTTTTTGGTCATGGGGCTTAAACTCTGGGCCTGGGCGCTGTCCCTCAGCTCTTCATCGCTCTACCAGTTCAGTCACAGCACCACATCTGGCTTTTTCTGCTTATGTGGTGCTGAGGAATCAAACCCAGGGCCTTGTGCATGCAAGGCAAGCGCTCTACCAGTAGAGCCGCAGCGCCACTTCTGGCTTTTTTCTTTTTGCTTATGTGGTGCTGAGGAATCGAACCCAGGGCCTCAGGCATGCAAGGCAAGCGCTCTACCACTGGGCCACCTTCCCAGCCCGTGGGCTGTACAGTCTTAACTAGGTTTTTCTCATGGCTGCTCTACCACTTATGCCGCTCTTCTAGTTAAACTTTCTTCTGGTTAATTGGTGATGGAGTTTGGCAGACTCTTCTGTCCAGGCTGGCTTCGAGCCTCCTTTATCTGGATCTCATCAGCCTTCAGAGCAGCTAAGATTACAGGTGTGAGCCACTGTGTCCTGGCTCATTTAATTTCTTAAGAAGCCATACCAGGAAAGTGTTGTTGTCTCCATTTTGCTGAGAAGCTAAACCTTAGAGTTGAAAGTGCTCTTTTACCCAACATCACATAGCCAGAAAGTAGAGTCAAGACTATGTGAAGGGACTGGGAATGTGGCTTAGTGGTAGAGTGCTTGCCTACCATGCATGAAGCCCTGGATTCAATTCCTCAGTACCGCATACACAAAAAAGGCAAGAAGTGGCGCTGTGGCTCAAGTGGTAGAGCATAGCCTTAAGCAAAAGAGTCCAGGCTCAGGACTGGCCAAAAAAAAAAAGATTGTATGAAGAGAATCCTCTTTCTAGTGGGAAGAATGGAACAAACTGGATCTTTATTGTGTTCTTGGCTGTGTGTTAGGCACTGGCCTTATCATATCTTTTTTTTTTTTTGGGTCCGGTCGTGGGGCCTGAACTCTGGGCCTGGGCGCTGTCCCTCCGCTCTTCAGGTCAAGGCTAGTGCTCTACCCCTTGAGCCACAGCACCACTTCCGGCTTTTTTCTTTTTGCTTATGTGGTGCTGAGGAATCGAACCCAGGGCCTCATGCATGCAAGGCAAGCACTCTACCACTGAGCTACCTTCCCAGCCCCGCCTTATCATATCTTATTAGCTCTAATTTTTATACAGGCTCTTTGAAATACATGACTATTTTTTTTGTTGTTGTTGGTTGTGGGGCTTGAACTCTGGGCTTGGGCGCTGTCCTTGGGCCCTTCAGCTCAAGATGAGCGCTCTACCACTTGAGCCACAGTGCCATCTGGTTTTCTGCTGGTTCATTGGAGATAAGAGTCTCACGGTCTCTCCTGCCCGGTCTGGCTTTGAACCATGATCTTCAGATCTCAGCCTCCTGAGTAGCTAGGATGACAGGCGTGAGCCACCAGTGCCTGGCTGAAATACATGGCTTTTATGATAAGAGGCAGCTCTTCATTTGATATACTTCCCTCTTCCATTGGACACAGGGGGAACCCCTTTGACGTACTTGCAGACTTAATCCCCTTCTCCAGTGCTTGGTTGAGGATTTATCAACATACAGAGGGTCTAGAATTACGGGCAGCTTCAGAGTTGGGTGACACTTGCCTGCATGTCGGAGCTTGAGTTGGCATGGTACACGTGAGCAGTAGCCAGGATTAACTGCTGCACAGTGTCTGCACCAGGAAGTCCCCGACACGAAAGGAGTGAAAGGGAAGAGATCTTCGACTCGGTCACCATTGGCAAGGAACCTGCCTCTGCCTGACCCGGCCTAGCCTGGCCTCCATGGTGGCCTCGTTAGTCTCCATCCCTCTGCTCTCCTAGCCCGTCTGGCTGACTGTCTCGTGTGTCTCCAGAAGCCTGCATTGTCCCTGTGTTGCCTGCTCCGTCTGACCTCTCTTCCTGCCCTGTGTCTCCGCATGGCTGTTAGGGGTGTCTGGGGTAACCTTCTTTAGCCTTGGCTCTGCTCTGCAGAGCCTGCAGCCTCCTCCGAAGGTGTAACTGTATTACATCTTCACAGTCTGCCTTCCAGTGCCTGGCTCTGTTAGGTCCTTTCGTCCGTAACTTTCGTTCCAGCCTCTCTGGCTGCCTTCCTGCCTCAGGGCCTTTTTGCACTTGTTCCCCTCTGTCTGGGACACTGCCTCCTGGTTCTTCACGCCTGCCCGGTTCTTTTTCATGTGTGACGTCTCAGTTCAAGTGCCACCCACTCAGTACTTTAACCATGTCGCCTCCCCCAGATTGCATTCTGTTCTGTCATATTATCCGATCTTTGGGCTTTCAATTTTTTTCCCTGTCCCACCCCGCCCCCCTTTTTTTTCTGTGGAGTTGAACCTAGAGCCTCATGAATGCCAGTATCCTACCCCTGAGCCACATGCCCAACTTGGATAGTGTTTTTTAGGTGATGCAGCATTGCCTTGTATTTTTCACAGAAGTGGATTTACCGTAGTATGACTTTTTTTTTTTTTTTTTTAAAGAAAAGCGCTAGGTACAGTATCAGTAGAACTGTGAGGAAGCTGGGTTTAGCCACAGGCATTAGCTGCATTCAAGACAGCAGCTTACATTATGTTTGCAGGTAGCTGCCTGTTTGCCTTGCCAGTGGCCGGTGATGCCCATTTGTCTTTACCTGACTTTCAAAGCCCCTTCCTTCCCTCACAGCTCAGCTCCAACACCTTTCCTTGCAGGCCCTTCTAATATCCTGCACATACCTGGAGTATTTCCTGTACTTCTTTTTCTTTTTTTGTTTTTGTTGGTCGTGGGGCTTGAACTCTGGGCCTGGGCGCTGTCCCTCAACTCTTCAGCTCAAGGCGAGCGCTCTACCACTTGAGCCACAGCGCCACTTCTGGTTTTCTGAGTGCTTTATTGGAGATAAGAGTCTCACTGACTTTTTCTGCCCAAACTGGCTTTAAACCATGATCCTCAGATCTCAGCCTCTTGAGTAGCTAGGATGACCGACATGAGCCACTGGCGCCTGGCTTTTCCTGTACCTCTTGAAAGATGTTGCTTAGAACTCTTTCTGCTCACCTCTCCCTTCCTGAAGCTGGAGAGATGCCTCGTGTACTTTTCTCTTTGTCTCCTTCATACTCCTGGGAGGGACGGTGAGCTGGTGCTGCCTCTGAGCCGTGTGTGGCTGCGGACACTAGAGGACGAGGGGAGGGGACCCCGAAGAGGCCGCTCAGGCCCCTCCTGAAGGATGCTAGTGTGGTGGCTGCAGCTTTGGTCAGACTGTTCTCCCATTCTATGGTTGTTTTGTTACTCTCTTAAATACTGTTTTTTAATGTACAAATGGTTATAATTTTGGTGAGGTTCAATTTACCTTTACTTGCTAATAATGCATCTGTGCTTTTGGTGTCATTAATCATTGCTTAAATCATACTTGTGTGTGTGTGTGTGCGTGTGCGCGCGCGCATGTGCACATTGCATGCATATGCATGCACACCAGTCCTGGGGCTTGAACTCAGTTCAGGGCCTGGGCTCTCTCTTCTTTTATGCTCAGAGATAGCACTCTACTACTTTGAGCCGCAGCTCTACTTGCAGCTTTTGGTGGTTAATTGGAGATACGAGTCTTGGATTTTCCTGCCCAGGCTTACTTCAGACCATTATCCTCAAATCTCAGCCTCCTGAGTAGTTAGGATTACAGACTTGAGCCATCAGTGCCTGGCCAGTCTTTTTTTTTTTTTTGGGTCCGGTTGTGGGGCCTAAACTCTGGGCCTGGACGCTGTCCCTTAGCTCTTCAGCTCAAGGCTAGCGCTCTACCACTTAAGACACAGCGCCACTTCCGGCTTTTTTCTTTCTGCGTATGTGGTGCTGAGGAATCGAACCCAGGGCCTCAGGCATGCAAGGCAAGCGTTCTACCACTGAGCCACCTTCCCAGCCCCCAGTCTTTTTTTTTTTGTTGTTGTTGTTGTTGGTAGTGGGGCTTGAACTCTGGGCTTGGGTGTCTTCCCTGAGCTCTTCAGCTCAAGGCGAGCGCTCTCCCACTTGAGCCACAGTGCCATTTCCAGTTTTCGGGTGGTTTATTGGAGAGTCTCAGGGACTTTCCTGCCTGGGCTGGCTTTGAACCGCCATCCTCAGATCTCAGCTGCCTGAGTAGCTAGGATGACAGATGTGAGGTGCCCAGCTGGCTAATCATTTTTAATGTTACAAAAGTTCTGTTTAACAGCTTTTACATTTGTGGTATTGATCCTCAATTTACTCTTTAGCTTAGTTTTTATTTTGAAATAACTGTCAATTGGTGTGTAGCTGTAAGAAATAATACAGAATTGTCCTAGCTGCCCAGGATTTATTTTGTCCTAATACTTACAATTTAACTAAATTGCTGACATATCCAGTTTAGTCTTCTACCTTACTATGGACTTTGCTTCTGTCACCTGTTTTCTGCTCATTTTTCTCTTGGTCTTGCTTTCTTTGCAGTGGTGGGGTTTGAACTCACGACCTCAGGCATCCAAGGCAAGCACTCTGCCACTGGAGCCATACTCCTAATTCCTTTTGTTTTTACTTTGAGATGGTCTCGCTAACTTGGCCGATATGGCTGCACACTTGCTATCCTCTTTCCTCTGCCTCAGAGGAGCTGGCATTGCAGACGTGTGCCACCCTGCTCAACTGTGCTTACTCTGTGTGGATGGATTCGCAGCCAGCCCTCTGTGTCCCTAGCTGACCTCTGCACCGCGGAGCCCTTGCTTTCGTCACCGCTCCCCTGCCCTCCATGATTTGTGAATGTGCCCAGACCAGTGAGTGCTGTCGGAACTGGAAAAGCTCCCGGGCTTCCCCTGCTGCAGTCCTTACCCGGTGTTCTCAGGCTGGGCCGTGCGGCGCCATTGAGTTCTTGGTGCATTGGGAGAGAACAGAGCGTCTGGTGGAGCCAGCGCCAGGGCCAGACTGCCTGTGCTGGAACATAGTGGTTTGGGTTTTGTTTCCATCTTTGATTTGCATTTTCCTTGGCTACCAAGGTTCTTGTACCCGCACAGTCCTGAAACCTGTTCTTTTTCCCTCCTGGAGTTGTGGAGCCAACAAGACTGAGCACCGGCTGTGCTGGAGAGGAGACCTCTACTCTTTTTTTTTTTTTTTTTTTGTCCGACGTGGGTTTTGAACTCGGGGCCTGGGCGCTGTCCCTCAGCTCTTCAGCTCAAGGCGAGCGCTCTACCACTTGAGCCTCAGCACCACCTCCCGTTTTCTGGGGGTACATTGGAGATCAGAGTCTCACAGACCTTCCTGCCCAGGTCTGGCTTTAAACTGCGATCCTCAGATCTCAGCCTCCTGAGTAGCTAGAATGACAGGTGTGAGCCACCGGTGCCCAGCGAGACCTCTACTCTTGACTAATGGTAGAAGTGGGAGATAAATTCCCAAGTCAGCCTCTCAGTCTGGGAGCTTATAGCTGAGAGACGTGACAGGCAGCAGCTAGGAGAGGGGGTGCGCACATCCTGTCTGGGAATTGGGGGAACTTTCTGGAGAACTTGGGCTCCACCTTTTCCTCCTTGGCTCTCCCATCTCCCACCAGACAGTGGCAGCAACCCACCTGGTGAGGACCTTCTGTCCCCAGGCAGGATCGTGGTGACAGTGTCCTGGTGCTGTGCTCAGTGCAGTACTGAGGTTCATGGTGACACAGTATCCTGGTGCAGTACTCAGTGCAGTACTGAGGTTCATGGTGACACAATATCCTGGTGCAGTACTCAGTGCAGTACTGAGGTTCATGGTGACACAGTGTACCAGTGCAGTACTCGGGACACAGTGTCCCAGTGCAGAAAGGAAACACTCCCCAAGTTCCCTTCTCAGAGATACTTGTCATTAGTGCTGGTCTGTCTTCCTTGTTTTGGTTGGTTGTGGGCTTGCACTCTGGGCCTGAGCACTGTCTCTGAGCTCTTCAGCTCAAGGTGAGTGCTGTATCACTTGAGATGAGTCTCATGGACTTTCCTGTCCGGGCTGGCTTTGAATGAACTTTGATCCTCAGATCTCAGCCTCCTGATTAACTAGGAATACAGGTGTGAGCCACTGCTGCCTGGCTTTTCTTCTTCTTTTTGGATACTTGGATACTTGCTCTTTCTTGGTTCTACCAATTGAACTATACTTCCAGTCTGGCTTTTTGTTGGTTATTTTGGAGATGGAATCTCAAGGGCTTTTCTGCCCAGGGCTGGCTTTGAACCATGATCCTTCTGATTGCAGCCTGCTGAGTAGCTAGGATGACGTGTGAGCCAGGATTGCCTGGCTTGCTCTTTTTCCTCTATTTTGCTTTATCTCTAAATGGCACCTTTAGGACTGAATACTTTTCTCATATCTTTGACATGTTTAAGTGTAAGTGGAATCTGTCTTCTGAAAGGGCGGCAATCAAATTGCTCCAAAGAGCTGGGCACTGGTGGCTCACATCTGTAACTGTAGCTATTCAGGAGGCTGAGAGCTGAGGATCACAGTTGGAAGCCAGTGTGGGAGAGGACAGTCCATGAGAATCTCAGCTCCAGGTAACCAGCAGAAAGCAGAGGTGTGGCTCAAGTGACAGACCACCACAGCAAGAATATAAAGTCCTGAGTTCAAACCCCAGTACTGGTGCACACACGCACAAATTGCCCCAGAGAAAATGCGGCCACTTAGAGTTGCACTAGTTTGGAAGTCTGTTTCTCTGTACCCTCATCTTCTCTCTTTTCTTTTTTTTTTCTTTCTTGGCTGAGACTGGGACTCGATCTTAGTACCTGACACCCTTGCTCATTGGCTAGCACTCTACCAACTGAGCCATGCCTCCAACCCCTGCATTGGATATTAATGACCTTTTTAATAGTTGCCCGTCCAGTAGATGAACAGTGTCTTGTTTTAGTTCGTCTTTCTGATGACTCGTCCCTTTGTTTATTTCCTTTTTGTGGCGCTGGGGTTTTGAGCGCGGACTTACCTTGGGTGGCGTGCTATTCTTCTCTCACCCATCTGCCACTTCCCCAAAGTCATTCTTGGGCAGGTGTTGACGCCTTAGTTCTCCTGAGGTGCTTCGTGTTTGCTGAGTTGAGGCTGTGGGCCCTGCCACCAGCACGGCCAGATCTCAGCTTCCTGAGTAGCTAGGGTGACAGGCGTGAGCCACCAGCGCCTGGCTTCCGTGGACAAGTTTTTCTCCCTTTTTTTGGGTCAGTTGTGGGGCCTGACCTCTAGACCTGGACGCTGTCCTTTAGCTCTTCAGCTCAAGGCTAGCGCTCTACCACTTGAACCACAGCCCCACTTATGACCTTTTTCGCTTATGCGGTGCTGAGGAATCGAACCCAGGGCCTATGCATGGGAGGCAAGCACTCTACCACTGAGCCACCTTCCCAGCCCCTCTCCCTCTTGATTTATTTTCTCTTATTTAAAAATGTGTGGCTCACCCAAGAGTAGTGACCCTTTCTCCACGTTCCAGAGCGGGACACCAGTAGGGGTGACAGGAAAGGGGTTCAAGGCCTTGCCTGATGTGGAAGAGGTTGAGGAGGCCGGTGCGCAGAGGCCGGTGGGCAGAGGCGGGCTTCAGGCAGCCTTTCCCTCCTCCCCTGGTCCTCTGAGGTCAGTGGGTGTGAGCTGGGGTCTGGGTCAGGGTCACCTGTTTGTCCCAAGGCCCTGAGAGGCTGAGCCGGCCCTCCTCCCCCCTTTCCCTCCCCCCCCCCCCCCCCAGCCTTGCTTCCTCAAGGACTGGGAGATGCACGTCCACTTCAAAGTCCACGGCACTGGCAAGAAGAATCTCCACGGAGACGGCATCGCCCTGTGGTATACCCGCGACCGCCTGGTGCCAGGTGAGCTGCTCTTGGGTCCCCCCCTCCTGTACCCAGCGATCTCCCCCTGCGCCATCCTGCTGCTCCTGGAGGAAGCCTCGGGAAACAGCTGGGGAGAGGGAGAGGAGAGGCGGGCAGGGGGGAGGCGGAGGCCATGCACCATGTGGCCTGGCTTTGTCCTACACCCTCAGGGCCTGTGTTTGGAAGCAAAGACAACTTCCATGGCCTAGCCGTCTTCCTGGACACGTACCCCAATGACGAGACCACCGAGGTAGGCCCTGCCCTGCTGCGCTGCAGGAAGTTGGGCGTGGCAGGCTCAAGGCGGGGGACGGGGCTTCCCTTGCCCACGGCCTGGCACCAAGGCGGCCTGGCACCAAGGCAGCCTGGGGAGGGGGGGTAGCCCCGGGTGTGGTGGGATCCCCGCTTCCGCCCACAGGCCGAGCCCTGCCGGGCGTGGAGTAACCCGAGTCTTGGTCCCAGCGCGTGTTCCCGTACGTGTCGGTGATGGTGAACAATGGCTCCCTGTCCTACGACCACAGCAAGGATGGCCGCTGGACCGAGCTGGCGGGCTGCACCGCCGACTTCCGCAATCGGGACCACGACACCTTCCTGGCCGTGCGCTACTCGAGGGGCCGCCTGACGGTGAGTGCGAGCGCCGCGGGCTGCGGCCGTGGGCTGTGGCGGCCGGCGGGGGTGCGGGTGCAGGCTGCGCTGACATGCCGGCCCATCGCGTCGCAGGTGATGACGGACTTGGAGGACAGGAACGAGTGGAAGAACTGCATCGACCTCACGGGCGTGCGCCTGCCCACCGGCTATTACTTCGGCGCCTCCGCGGGCACCGGCGACCTGTCTGGTGAGTGAGGAGCCCGTGCTCCTTGGTGGCTTTTTTTGGTAGGTCCTGGGGCTTGAACTCGGGCCTGGGTGCTGTCTCTGAGCTGTTTTTCCTCAAGGCTGGTACTCTTACTACTTCGAGCCATAGCTCCACTTCCAATTTTTTGGAAGGTAAGGGTCCCACGGACTTTCCGGCCCAGGCTGGCCTTGAACTTCGATCTTTAGAGTTCAGCCTCCTGAGTAGCTAGGATGACAGGCGTGAGCCACCAGGGCCTTTCTTGGTGTTTAAATATCATCGATTTCCACATTGCTATCCCACGAAATGGCCGTCTGCTTGGCATGTGCCCTTGGCCACCCGTGTGACCCTCAATGACCTGGTAGGGACCGTGTCCATCAGGACACGAGCGGTGCCACTGTGGGGCTTAGGACAGCCTTGGTGTCTTCCTGAACATCCGGGTACTAGCAAGGCCTGCCGGCTCCATCCACACGCTGACCTCTGGCTGCCTGGCACAACTCTGTCTCCCTCACCTCTTGTGGGAGCCTCCCAGGCGGCAACCCTGATTCCACCCAGATTCCCCCAACTGTCCACCCCCTAACCCAGCTGCTGGAGTGACCCCACTGAGTCCCTGTCGGGTCTGCCTCAGTGCAGCAGATCTGGGGCCCGCACCCGCACAGGTGTGCAGTCTGCTCTGCCCTCTTCTCCACTGTCCTCCCTCTGCAGCTCTGCCTGCCGGGGGCTGAGGGTAGCTGGAGGCCCAGGCGTGGGACCTGGCCGCTCTCTATGGTCGTCAGCAGCTTCTCTTTTGGGAGGACTCTGCCCACCCACCACCTCCCCCCCCCCCTTGCAGCTGGCTCCAGCTGTTCTAGATTCTTTTCTTTTTGTCAGTTGTGGGGCCTGAATTCTGGCCCTGGGTACTGTTCCTCAGCTCTACCACTTTGAGCCACAGCGCCACTTCCGGTTTTCTGATGGTTCATTGGAGATCAGAGTCTCATAGACTTTCCTGCCCAGGCTGGCTTTGAACCACAATCCTCAGATTTCAGCCTCCTGAGTAGCTAGATTGACAGGTGTGAGGTACCGGCGCCCAGCTTAGATCCTTCTTATCCTGCAGACAACCATGACATCATCTCCATCAAGCTGTTCCAGCTCATGGTGGAGCACACACCTGACGAGGAAAACATTGACTGGACCAAGATCGAGCCAGGTGTCAACTTCCTGAAGTCACCGAAAGGTAACACGTGCATGTGGCCCCCCCCCTCCCCTCTCCCCCCTCCCCCCCTCCCCCCGGGCCTCAGGCCGTGCCACGGCCCGCCTGCCGTTCCTAGTGTGGCTTTCAGATGCCCCCGGAGGCCACGGTGTGGACTGGCTGGGCTCTGGTGAGTTTCTGGAAGGGAGAATGAGGCAGGCGAGTCTGCCTCCTCACTGTGTGGGTTCTGTGGGTTTCTGCGCCTGTGCGAGCCCCTGGTGCCCACTGCTCCCTGGTCTGGCCCATGGCCACGAAAGCCCAGCGGATATTTGTGGTCGGTTACTACACGTCCCGGCACCTGAGGACGCACGTTGCTGGGGTGAGCACCCGGAGGGCCTGTCTCAGCTTCCCTTGTGACTAAGAGGGGGAGGCAGGACTTGGGACTTGGGTTCCTCTAATTTTTCCATCTCAGCCTGCAGAGCTGCGGGCTGGGTAGATTGCATGGAGCACGGCTGGCTGGGGCTGGGGGGGCCAGGCCTGGGTCTTTCTTGTTTGTGGGTCATGGGTCTTGAACTCTGGGCTTGGGCACTGTCCCTCAGCTCTTCAGCTCAAGGTGAGCGCTCTACCACTTGAGCCACAGCGCCACTTCCGGTTTTCTGACGATTCATTGGAGATCAGTCTCAAGGACTTTCCTGCCCGGGCTGGCTTTGAACCTCGATCCTCAGATCTCAGCCTCCTGAGTAGCTAGGATGACCGGTGTGAGCCAGCAGCACCTGGCCCCAGAGCTGGGTTTTATGTGGTCACTCACTTTTTAAGTAAAGTTGAAATGGCGTGGGGTCAAACATCCTGCTGAGGTCCTGACCGCCCCAGCTCTGTCCACCCCCCCAGCTCTGTCCACGTGGCGCCCCCTCCTGGCCGGCAAGGTAGAGACTAAGTCAATCCTCAACATGGTGGTCCCGGCCTCCATCAGCACACGCTTTCCCACGCTGGCCTTTCCTGCCTTGTGGCTGGCGCTGGTTCATGGGCCTCTGGGGGTTCAGTCCAGCCACCCCGGCAGAGGGCAGGTCCGAAGGGCCCGCGGGGAGGCCATGGCTGAGCAGATGATGTGGCCCAGCCAGCGGCCATTGCCGCCTCTGTGGGGTCACGGCCGAGAAGCCCGAGCCCTGGTGGGAAGAGACCTGGGGGGACCCCAGTGTGGAGGGGGGCTGCAAGGCGCGGTCAGATGGCAGCTCCTCAGCCCCTCAGCCCCCAGCCAAGTTCTCGGCGTGCTCACCCCGGCCGGGGGTCATCCCGGACCTCTGCTTACGCTGAGGCGGGACGGTGGGAGGGAGTCCGGGAAGTGCTGCGGGGGGGGGGGGGGGGGGGGGGACCCGGGGACCCCTGTGTCCGGCCAGGCCCCGCCCCTCCCGCTCACCTCCCTCTCTCTTCTCCCCCAGACAATGTGGACGACCCCACGGGGAACTTCCGCGGCGGGCCGCTGACGGGGTGGCGGGTGTTCCTGCTGCTGCTGTGCGCGCTGCTGGGCATCATCGTGTGCGCCGTGGTGGGCGCCGTGGTGTTCCAGAAGCGCCAGGAGCGGAACAAGCGCTTCTACTGAGCGGCCGCGCGCATGCGCACGCGCCCGTGCCACCCAGGGCCTCCCCGGGCCTCCCCGAGCCCGCGCATGCGCGCCGTCCGGGCCTCCCCTGGCTGCCCAGGGCCTCCCCTGGCTGCCCAGGGCCTCCCCGGGCCCGCGCATGCGCGCTGCCCAGGGCCTCCCCTGGCTGCCCAGGGCCTCCTCAGGCCCGCGCATGCGCGCCGCCCAGGGCCTCCCCGGGCCCACGCGCGAATGTGAACTTTTTTTTTTTTTTTTTTTAAACTGGGATTGTAAAAAGAAAACAGAACCAAGAAGACCTTATTTCTTAGCCGTTTCAAAGAAATGATTAAAGTATTTTCGTACACTTCGCCTCCTGCCCAGCGGGGCCGGGCCGGCATCTCAGGACGTGGGTGCCCGGCCCAGGGCCGCGGCCCGCAGGTGGCGGCTGAGCACTGGAGAACCCCCGGAACCGGCCCCCCGGACTGCAGGGGGGCGGCCCCGGACGCGGGGCGGGAGGGGGGGGTGCGGGGCGGGGGGGGGGGGGAGCCGTGCGGGGGGGGGGGCGGGGGGCCGTGCGGGGCGGGGGGGGGGGGGAGCGATGCTGGGGGCCGTGCGGATCCGGGGTTCCTCCCCCCCCCCCCCCCCCCCCCCGCGTGGACCGATGGCTCAATAAAGCGACGTCCGCCCTCCCCGGCGCCGCCCTGCGGGGCCGCCTTTTCTTTCCGGTAACTCGGCCGCTCCCCGCGGGGCCCGGGCTCCATCCGGGCTCCATCCCGGGGGCCGGGGCTCCATCCGGGCTCCATCCCGGGGGCCGGGGCTCCATCCCGCGGGGCCGGGGCTCCATCCCGCGGGGCCGGGGCTCCATCCCGCGGGGCCGGGGCTCCATCCCGGGGGCCGGGGCTCCATCCCGGGGGCCGGGGCTCCATCCTGCGGGGCCGGGGCTCCACCCCGCGGCCGGGGCTCCATCCCGGGGGCCGGGGCTCCATCCCACGGGGCCCGGGCTCCATCCGGGCTCCATCCCGGGGGCCGGGGCTCCATCCCGCGGGGCCGGGGCTCCATCCCGGGGGCCGGGGCTCCATCCCGGGGGCCGGGGCTCCATCCCGGGGGCCGGGGCTCCACCCCGCGGCCGGGGCTCCATCCCGGGGGCCGGGGCTCCATCCCGCGGGGCCCGGGCTCCATCCCGCGGGGCCGGGGCTCCATCCCGGGGGCCGGGGCTCCATCCCGGGGGCCGGGGCTCCACCCCGCGGGGCCGGGGCTCCACCCGGGGGCCGGGGCTCCATCCCGCGGGGCCGCTGGCCCCCAGCCCAGCCCTGATCCCGGCTGCGTCCCGCCAGGCGCCCTCCCGCGGGCCTCTGCCGGGGTGGGCCCGGCGGGGGCTTCCCCGCGAGCCCTTGGGACCTGCCGTCGGCCTTCTTGCGGTGGGGCGTCCACACGTGTCCGGGTGGACGTGCAGGAGCCTGGCCCTGACCCCCACCTGCCTCGCCCGCCGGAGCCTGGCCTCCGCTGAAATCCGGGAACCCGAGACCGTGGCCGCCGGCGCCCTCCCCAGCCGGGGCTCGGCTGTGGGCCCCGTGGGGCTTCTCTGCCCAGCAGGGTGGGCAGCGGTCCCCGCCCCCGCGGCCGCATCCCTGAGCCGCACCCTCCACGCCTAGCTCAGGTGCTCCCGCCTGTGTTTTCTTTTTCTTTTGGTCTGTCGTGGGGTCTTGAACTCTGGGCCTGGGCGCTGTCCCTCAGCTCTTCTGCTCAAGGCGAGCGCTCTGCCACTTGGGCCACAGCGCCACTTCCGGTTTTTCTGGTGGTTTATTGGAGATAGGAGTCTCACAGACTTCCCTGCCCAGGCTGGCTTAACCGTGATCCTCAGATCTCAGCCTCCTGAATAGTTAGGATGACAGGCGTGAGCCACCAGCGCCACAGCATTTTGCTTTTCTAACGATGTCAAATGATGTACAGTCTACATTTGAAGGCTGCCAAGTCCTTCGTGACGATTGCTTTTCCTAAGAGTTCTCAAAACTTTGTTTTTGTCATGTGGGACTCCTGTCTGCGGGGTCAACTGGGGCTGTTTTCAGCCGTCTCCCTGCCCCAAGCACCCAGTTCTAAGGATGGTTTGGTGGCTGGAGGCTGGGGGTGGTGGTGGGCCTGCTGAGGCCTCAGGGTGTGAGGAAGCTCTTGTTTGTCCACCTACCCTCCTGCTGGATGAGGCAGAAGCTTCATGACCCCAGGGGCACGTGGACCAGCCTTAGACCAGGTCCTTAATGATGGGCCTAGGTTCCCACCCAGCCCTAGACTGCTGACAGCTGGGCTGTGTGTGTGTGTGTATGTGTGTAAATCCCTATTTGTCCGAACTTTTTGCCAATCCTGGGGTTTGAACTCAGGACCTGGGCACTGTCCCTGAGCTTCTTTGTGCTCAAGACAAGTGCTCTACCACTTGAGCCACAGCACCACTTCTGGTTTTTGAGTAGTTTATTGAAAACAAGTGTCATGAGGACTATTTTGCCCTGGCTGGCTTCAAACTGGGATCCTCCAATCTCAGCCTCCTGAGTTGTTAGAATTCCAGGCGTGAGCCACCAGTGCCCATCTTAGAATTTTTCTTTTTTGTCAGTCTCGAGGCTTGAACTCTGGGCCTGGGCCTGTCCCTCTGCTCTTCAGCTCACAAGGAGCGCTCTACCACTTGAGCCACAGTGCCACTTGTGAGCCATCGGCGCCCAGCATTTTTTAATTTATTTTTCACTGGGCAGCTAGATATCTGAAATGAAGTTGGCAGGGCCAGGCCCCTTGTGTTTTCCTCGCTGCTTCCCAGTGTCTGGCGAGCCCTGGGTATCTTGGAGCTCCTTGGCTGTGGACATGTTGCTGTCTAACGTTGACAGGAGCCGGGGAAATCGCACAAGCCCATGCAGGTGCCATTCATGTGTGCAAAGGCCCTGTGTGGCATGTAGAGCCCAGCCATGGCAGAAGCTTGCGAGCGCCACCTAGCGGCGTCCTCTGGGAGGATGTTCTGGACCAGGGTAAAGCCATTTGAGACAAAGTAATTTTGAGATTGCCACGGATTGAAAGCTATAAAATAACCTTGAACCCCAAATACTCTTCATGTCTCCGATGATGCTGGAGAAATGACAAGCGCCATGCCTGGGTAATAAAATGGAAATGATTTATTCAGGAGCAGGTATCCCTGAGCCAGGAGATTCTGATTTTCCTGGGGCCTTTGGAGCCCTTTGGGTAGTGCCCTAGGAACACCTCTGAGGGACTCAACCATGACTGCTTGGTTTGTGGCTGGAAGTTTGTTTTTGTTTTTTTGTCAGTCGTGGGGCTTGAACTCTGGGCTTGGGTGCTGTCCCTCAGCTCTTCAGCTCAAGGCTAGCGCTCTACCACTTGAGCCACAGCACCACTTCCGGCTTTTTTTTTCTTTTTGCTTATGTGGTGCTGAGGAATTGAACCCAGGGCCCCAGGTTTTCTAGTGGTTGGAGATAAGAGTCTCAAAGGGAGGTTCCTGCCCAGCCTGGCTTTGAACCACGGTCCTCAGATCTCAGCCTCTTGAGAAGGCACATGGTTTATGGTTGGAGGTTTCAAGGTCAACAGAGGGCTTTCTGTGTGGAAGGCCACCAGTACCACCAAAGGAACCAATACAGCAAACCAACGCAGTGGCTGGGGCTGCCTGCCTGCCGTTTGTCCCTAAGCTGAGTCTCCACTCCCAGGCAGGGACAGATCGGCCTCCTGGCAGACCCTGGGGCCATGGCAGCCATGAGTAGGAGCGGTCGGCCACCCTGCCCTGGTCTAGCTTACCCCTGGGAGGTGCACATGCTCAGAGTGTAGCAAAGGACGAGAATGGAAGAGATGAACCCATGTGGACTGCTGGCTCAAGGTTTTTGTACCAAGCTGGTAAGATCCAGCGACAGGCAGAGGAGTCGTCCTCAGGTAATGGCTGATGAGCAGCTCATTAACAGTGATGAGGGTCTCATTAACTTTTTCTCCTGGCTGTCCTAAAATCACAGTCCTCCATATTTCCATCTCCCAAACAGCTGGGATTACAGGCATGAGCCACCTTACCTGCCTCAGGTCTTCTTTACCTGTTTATCTGTCTGTGATCACCTAGATTGGTTCAATATCTGGACTGTCAAGAATAGGCTCATCAAGCCGGGTGCTGGTGGCTCACACCTGTAATCCTAGCTACTCAGGAGGCTGAGATCTGAGGATCGCAGTTCAAAGCCAGCCTGGGCAGGAAAGTCCTCGAGATTCATTTCCAATAAACCACCAGAAAACTGGAAGTGGCTCTGTTGGCTCAGGGGGCAGAGCGCCCGCTTTGAGCACAAAGAGGCCAGATGAGTTCAAGCCTCCGGACTGCCAAAAAAAGGAAAAAGAATAATGCCATATGCTAATCCTCCACCAGGTTCACGGCCAGGTACAAGTGCAGCTCAAGCAGCACAGGGGTAATTGGGACAACATTCCAAAGCCATGCTTTACAGACTGGCCCGGTCGTTTCCGATCCTTGCTCGCCTGGGCCTTGCCCTGGCCGGGTGGTACCGCAGCGCCTTGCCCGTGGGCGCCGGCCGGCCGGGCCCCCTCCAGCGGGACACCCTCCACCCGGCCCCCTCCACCGGGACACCCTCCACCAGGACCCCCTCCACCCGGCCCCCTCCACCGGGACACCCTCCACCAGGACCCCCTCCACCCGGCCCCCTCCACCGGGACCCCCTCCACCGGGACACCTTCCACCTGCTCCCTCCACCCGGCCCCCTCCACCAGGACACCTTCCACCGGCCCACCTTCCACCTGCTCCCTCCACCCGGCCCCCTCCACCGGGACACCTTCCACCGGCCCCCTCCACCGGGACACCCTGCCCCGCTGCCCGATCGGGAGGTGGCAGCCCGCAGGCTCGGGCGAGGAACCCCCCCCCCGCCCCGGGGGGCGGGCGCACGGCCCAGGTGGAGTCCCGTTCTAGAAGGTCCCGCGGACTCCACTCGGGCCTTACGGGGCTGCAGTTTTCAGGATGTGCCATTTTAGGGGGCTGCTGCGTCCCGGACCTCCACTGCGTCGTGACTCATCCACGGCCCCGGGGACTCGAACCCCCGGCGCCCGCAGCCCCGAGGGCCCCTCCGGGGCGTGGCCTGGCCGGGGGGGGGGGGGTGCAGCGGCTGCACGGGGCCGGGGCCGCCCCTGCGGAGGACCCGCAGGGAGCGGAGCCCCGCCGGGCCCCGGGGGCGGACGCCAGGGCCCGGGGTCCTCGGCCCCCCGCGCCTGCGCACTGAGGTCCGCTTCCCCGCTCAATCCAGCCCCCGCCGTCCGAGTTTTCAAATTTGAAACCTGCTGCTTTTCCCGCTCGAACGTGAGGACCAGCGGCGAGGGAGGGCGGGGTCGCGTACCGGCCAATCGCGCGTCGGCGGCCTCCAGGCCCCGCCCCGACGATGACGACAGCGAGCCCTGGCAGACAGCCCGCCAATGGGCGAGCGACTCCGGGACGCCCCGCCCCCGCGGCGCCCACGTGCAGCGGCGGCGCCCGGGACGCCTCCCCGGGGCGGCTGGGCCCCATCCACGCCGTCCTCCCTCCGGGGCGCGCCCCACCCGCGCGGGGCTGGGATGGAGGCCCGGAGATGCCGAGGGACCGGCGGGGTGGCTGGGCGAAGCGGGCGGGACGAGGCCCCGGCAGCCGGGGAAGCCGCCTCCGGAGCGGGCGCCGGCGGGCGCGGGGGGCCGGGGCCCGGCGGGCTGGCGGGGTGGGGGTGGGCCGCGGCGCCCCGGCGCGCCCGGGGGCGTGGCCAGGCGCGGGGCGTGACCGGGGGCGTGGTCATGCGCGGGGCGTGGCCGGGGGCGTGGCCGGGCCCCTGTCTGTGTTGCTCCGTGTCAGTTACATTGTAACAAAAGTGGAGTGGCGGCGGCGGGGCCAGCGCCGCCCGGGCTCCCGCCACCAGCTGTCGCCGACATGGAGCCCGTGGCCAGCAGCATCCAGGTCCTGTTGCAGGCGGCCGAGTTCCTGGAGCGCCGCGAGAGAGGTGAGGGCGACGCCGGGCCCGGCCGGGACTTGGCTCCAACTGGAGCGCTGCCCGGCGTCCGAGGCGGGCTCGGGGCGGGCGGGCGGGCGGGCCGGGAGGGTGCTTCCCCGGCCACGCCGTGTCAGGGGCATCCGCTGGCCCTGACCCGGGCCGGGCACTGTCTCCCGCAGAGGCGGAGCACGGCTACGCGTCCCTGTGCCCGCAGCGCAGCCCCGGCCCCGGCCACGGGAGGAGGAAGCGGCCGCCGCAGGCTCCCGGCGCGCTGGACGGCGGGCGGTGAGCGGGGCCGGGCGGGGCGGGCGCCGGGCTGAGCGCGCTCCTTGGTCCGCGGGGCCCCCCACCTGCTCGCTGCTTTCTGATCGTTGGCATCTTTGGGGCGCGTCTTCAAAGGCGGCTTTCTGCGCGCGTCTGCGGGTGCCGGGGAGCGTGAGCGCGCCCGCGCGGGCCCCCGGGGTCTCCCACCCGTCGGACCCCCTCTTCCCCCCTTCCCCCCGGCCGTCCCGCTTTTCTCTCAACCCTGGGCTTAGGCGTGACCCTCCAGCTCGAAGCCCTTCCCGCCACTGCCTCGGATCCAAAGTTGTATTTTGTGTTTAGCCTCATTGTCGCCTCTGTCCAGAAAGCCCGGCTGCCAGGGGGACCCCCCCCCGGACCCCACAATCACCTGGGCAGGTGTCTCACAGCATTTGGCTCTGGGTTGGGGGGCTCCGATTCCTCTCTACCCGGGGCCTTTAGTGCTTGAGGCCCCACAAGGTCCCTGTTGGGGGGAAGGTATCTGCTGTGGATTTGTGTGTGTGTGTGATGCACACATGTGCACATGGGTGTGTGCCAGTCCTGGGGCTTGAACTCAGGGCCTGGGTGTTGTCCCTGAGCGTTTCCACTCGAGGCTGGTGCTCTACCGCTTGAGCCACGGCTCCCTGTCCAGCTTTTCGGTGGTTCCTTGGAGATAAAGAGTCTCACGGACTTTCCTGCTCCCGTGGACTTTGAACCATGAATCTCTGGTCTCAGCTTTCCGAGTAGCTAGGATGACAGGCATGCTCCCCCTTGCTCTGGCTTGGGGAGGCTTTTGAGGGGTGTCTGGGTGAGGGTGGGGTCCCCTCCCCCCCCCCCCCACAGCCCTTTCACCCCACGCTCCTTGGCATTGGCAGGTCTGTGCACAATGAACTGGAGAAACGCAGGTGAGTGCGGCCGGGCTCTGGCAGCTGCCGCCCCGGAGCCTCCTCCCTCTCAGCTGCCCCCTCCCCGCCCGGGCTGGCGCAGTGGGATGGGCACGGCCCTCCACGCTCCTTCCCCCCACAGGAGGGCCCAGCTGAAGCAGTGTCTCGAGCAGCTAAAGCAGCAGATGCCTCTGGGGGCCGACTGTGTGCGGTTCACCACGCTGAGCCTGCTGCGCCGCGCCAGGATGCACATCCAGGTAAGTGGGGGTGCAGTCTGGGGAGAAGCCTGGGTGAACGATGAAGCAGGGCCACAGGGCCCAGCTGCGCCACTTGGGACGTTTGGCTTTGCTTTTATAGTTTCCACACCTCCTAAGTGGGAAGGAAAGCAGTGATGCGTCGGGGCGCTGGCCAGGTCGCCTTGCAGATAGGCATGGCTGTTACCTTTGTGCCAATCTGGGGGCACCGTCAGGGATGCTGCCCCTGAGCTCTGTTTTGCTCTATCAGTTGAACCAGAGCTCCACTTCTGGCTTTTTGCTGGTTCATTGGAGCTACGTCTTCCGCGCTTTTTTTTTTTTTTTGGTTCCATTTGGCTTTGAACCCTGATTCTTAGCCCTTCGCTTTCCAAGGAGGTGGATTACAGGCATGCGCTCACGGCGCTGTTGTTGGAAGTATTCTTAGATCTCAGCTGCAAGACCTTGGGCAAGTGACTTGCCCGGCTTGATTGCTTTTCCTCCTCTGGTGGGGATGGCTGTGATGTCACAGCCTCTCGCGGGGCTGGTGTCGTGGCTTCTTCCAGGCTGGGGTGACAGTTGCAGAGATCAGGATAGGGGTGGGGGTCAGAGCCCGCAGGGCTGGGCCTCCCGGGGCCTTGCTGCTGCCAGGGTGAAGGCTGCCCCCTGGTGGACAGGCGTGGCCGCGCAGCTGTAAAGGCCCAGGAGGCGCCAGGACTGTGCGGGCCTGGGAGGGAGAGCTGAGGGCCAGGCGGCACAGCCCTGGGCACGTTCAGGGCCCGGCCCCCTGATGTGCATTCTTTCCTCAGCAAGTCTGTTCTGAGCACCAGCTGCTGAGGGCCGGGTCGGACAGCTCCGGGCGCCATCCAGCGGGTGAACCCGGGCCACGGGGAGGTGTGCCTGCCCTGGCCGCTTCCAGCCCCGCTGTGGCCGCGAACTCAGGTTGGCGAGTGGCTCAGGGTGCTGGCTGGCCGAGGGCAGAACTCGCGATCAGACCTTCCTTGAAGTCCTGCCATCTTGGCATGTACTTCTCCGGGCTCCTCGCTTCCTGTTTGGTCCGCACTTGGCCCTAGACAGATCCTTACTGTACACAGCTGTGTGTGCAGGGTCTCTGCATCCCGGCAGGATTCAGCCACACACGGGCCGAGCCCTCCAGCCTGCCTTTGTGTGAAAGTCTGGGCTCTCTCTAACCCACACCAGCCAGCCTGCTTCCCTGGGGGGAAGGGGGGCTATCTCCCCCCCATCCACCACAGAAAAAGCCATGAAGGGAGTTCTGGCTCGGTGTCCACTTCTCTTTTTGTCTAGGTAGCTTTTAACCCTTCTCCACCCTGCCTACTACCCTCCCTTTATTTGTGCTGATCTCAGGGCCTGGGCACCTTTTTTGCGCAAGGCGAGCGCTCTACCATTTGAGCCACAGCTCCACTTCCAGTTTTCTGGTGGTTCATTGGAGGTCCTGCGCGCGGGCTGGCTTCACACTGTGATCCTCAGTCTCTGAGCAGCCAGGATGCCGGGCGTGAGCCTCTGGTGCGCAGCTCACCCTGCCTTTTGTATGGATAGCTCAGGGCTGTCCATGACGGTCTGGAACTCCAGCAGGAGCGCTGGCGAGGAGGACTGCTGAGGAGGCTCAGGCCTCCCTAGGGTTCTTTGGGAGGACTCCAAACCCAGTAGCCTGTGTAGTTTGTAGTCTCCTGGGGACTTCAAACAGGCAGCCCACACTTTAAGGAATATTTGGGCCGGGCGCATGCTACTCTAATCTTAGCTACTCAGGAGGCTGAGATGTAAGGATGGTGGTTTCAAGTCAGCCTGGGCAGCAAAGTTCACGAAACTCCTCTCTCCAGTGAACCACCAAAGAGCTGGAAGTGGTGCCGTGGCTCAAATGGTAGAGTGTTAGCCTTGAGCCAGAGCTCAGGGACAGCGCCCAGGCCCCGAGTTCAAGTCTCACGACTGTCATTTGATATGACAAATCTGCTGACCCAGCTCCTCTTCCAGAAAGGCGCGCTGGCAATGTAGCGCAGTGGAAAGAGCACTTGCCTGGCTAGCCTGGGCGAGGCCCTGGGTTCGATCCGCGGCCCTGCCAACAAGCAGTCTTAGGGCGACCGGCACCTCTGGGCTGGTGGCCCCCTAAGCCCACACGCACTGGGCTAGCATTGGACGGGGGCCTCTGCAGCTGGGTGGAGGCGGAGCGTGTGTGGGCCACTTTGCTGGTGGCTGCGGGGGTGGAGGCGGGCATTGTGGGCGGAGCTTGGTGGGTGCAGAGGTGGGACATTGTGGGCGGAGCTTGCTGGTGGAGGCGGAGCATTGTGGGCAGAGCTTGTCTGGAGGCGGGGCATTTGTGGGCAGTTTGGTGGGTGCAGAGGCGGGGCATTGTGGGTGGAGCTTGCTGGTGGGTGGAGAGGTGGAGCATTGTGGGCGGAGCTTGCTGGTAGGTGTGGAGGCGGGGCGTCGTGGGCGGAGCTTTCTGATGGAGGTGGGGCGTCGTGGGTGGAGCTGGCTGGTGGGTACGGAGGCGGGGCGTCGTGGGCGGAGCTTGTCGGTGGAGGCGGGGCGTCGTGGGCGGGGCTGGCTGGTGGGTACGGAGGCGGGGCGTCGTGGGCGGAGCTTGTCGGTGGAGGCGGGGCGTCATGGGCGGAGCTTGTCGGTGGAGGCGGGGCGTCATGGGCGGAGCTTGTCGGTGGAGGCGGGGCGTCGTGGGCGGGGCTGGCTGGTGGGTACGGAGGCGGGGCGTCGTGGGCGGAGCTTGTCGGTGGAGGCGGGGCGTCGTGGGCGGAGCTTGTCGGTGGAGGCGGGGCATCGCTGGCTGGTGGGAGCCGGCCTGGGCCGCCCGCTCAGGGCCCGCTGTGGCTCTGCAGAAGCTGGAGGAGCAGGAGCAGCGCGCGCGGCGGCTCAAGGAGCAGCTGCGCAGCCGGCAGCAGAGCCTGCGGCGGCGGCTGGAGCAGCTGCGCGGCCCGGCCGGCCCCGGGGAGCGGGAGCGGGAGCGGCTGCGGGCCGACAGCCTGGACTCCTCCGGCCTCTCCTCGGAGCGCTCGGACTCTGATCAGGGTGAGTGCTGGAGCCGGGGAGGAAGGGGGGGCGCGCCCAGGGGGAGCCCCGCCGGCTTCTGACCGGACCCCCCTGTGCTGCGCAGAGGATCTGGAGGTGGACGTGGAGAGCCTGGTGTTCGGGGGTGAGGCCGAGCTGCTGCGGGGCTTCAGCGCGGGCCAGGAGCACAGCTACTCACACAGGGCGGGCGCCTGGCTCTGACGCGGCCCCCGCCCGCCGCCCGCCCCGCATCCACAGCCTCCCCCGCCGCCCCGCGCGCGCGGGCCGGACCCCTGACCCGGCCGCCCCCGAGGCCCGAACCAAAGCTCTGCGGACGGACGCCGGGCCGGGCCGAGTGGCTTCAAAGGTATTTATTGAGCGCCTGTCACGTGCGGGCAGCTGCGGGAGGGGCACAGGGGGAGGAGCAGGCGCCGGCCCGCGAGGGGCGCACAGTCCGCCGTCCGCGGGGCCGGGCGGCCCACCACCCAGACAGACAGACGACTGAAGTTGATCTTTAATGAGGAATGCCGGGGAGGGCGGCGGGGCGGCTACACAAACTGCTGCTGCTGCTGCTGCTTGCTGGCGGCCTTGCTGGCCAGGTCCTTGGCTTTCTCCGTGGCTGCCAGCGCCGTCTCCCGGGCCTTCTCCTTGGCCTCCTTGGCGGTCTCCGCGAGCGTTCTGGAAGGGGCCTCCCCTGCAGCCGCGGGAGGGCAGAGGCGTCTTCGGGGGAAGCGGGCCCGCCCCGCCCCGCCCCTCCCGGAGGCCGCCCGGGCTCAGGGCGGGGCCTCCGCACGCCCCGCCCCTCCCGGAGGCCGCCCCGGGCTCAGGCCCCGCCCCTCCCGGAGGGCCGCCCCGGCTCACCTTGCAGCTTGGCCAGGATGTACTCAAAGCCCTTCATGGTCTTGGTCACGTTGCTTTTGAACCGGGCAAGACCGAATTCCTGGCGGAAGACGCGCAGGGGAGGCGGGGCTGGGGGCGGCCCGCGGAGCCCCGGCCCGGCCGCCCCGCCCCGGCCCGGCCCCGCCGCTCACCTGGACGGCTCTGGAGACGCCGAACAAGCTGGAGGAGACCCAGGCCTCCCGGCGGATTTCGGTCCAGCTGCTGTTGTCGGAGTTCACGCAGTAAACACATCGTTCCTCCACCACCTGCGCGGGCGAGCGGCTGGGCTCACTGGGGCTCTCCCGCCCAGCCACCGCCGGCCCCGGGCCGGTTGTTTTTGTTGTCATCGGGCCGCGGGGCTTGAACTCTGGGCCCGGCGCTGACCCTCAGCCCTTCAGCTCAAGGCGAGCGCTCGAGCCTCAGCCCCACTTCTGGTTTTCTGGTGGTTCATGGGAGATCAGAGTCTCACGGACTTTCCTGCCCGGGCTGGCTTTGAACCGCGATCCTCAGATCTCAGCCTCCTGAGAAGCTGGGCGTGAGCCGCCAGCGCCCGGCCAGCTCAACCCACCTTTGCTGTATCAACCAGCCCAGCACCGATTCCCTGTGTTCAATCCACCCTCCCACCTAGGCTCCTGAGCAGCTGGGCCTACAGATGGGCGCCACCACGCTAGTCCATTAAAGAAAAATCTATGGCGTCCTGTATTGTATCTCTACGGGGTATTAAAGACCATCTGACCATCCAGCCCGCTGCTGGTCTTCCCGGGACAGGGTCTCTTGGGCTCAGCAGGTCTTCCGGCGCTGTCCTGCGCTTTCTGCTCTAGGCCCCGTGTCTAAACGCACATGGTGATCCCGTACCCCCGCCTCGGAGACCCAAGTTTGCTTGACACAAACTGCACACTGCATGCAGCTCCTGTCTTGGTGGTTTACAAGCCGCTCACACAAGACCTCGCAGGACACTTCCGACCCTCACTTCCCTCTTTGCATAAGTGAGTCCCAAGGTTACTGACACGCCTGACAGCTCACAGGAACTCACATAGGAACAGAGAATGTTCCTAATACTGCTTGAGTTCAAAGTTTATTTTCTGGTGCCACTACTAGAGCCACTGCTCAGGGCCTGGGCGCTGTCCCTTAGCTTTCTTGCTCAAGGCTGGTGCTCATGCACTTGAGCCACAGCTCCACTTTTTTTTTTTGTTTTGGCTGCTTGAGAGTCTCATGGACTTTCCTGCATGGGCTGGCTTTGAACCTCAATCGTCAGATCTCAGCCTTTGGTCAAAGGCATTTTTAAAAGGCAAGAAAAGAACATCTTTTCCCCCAAATCTCTGGAGGCGGAGGTCTAACATGGGGACCATACACGTAGGACCCCAGCTCGGCTAACCAGGACAAGGGGTGGGAGCGTGGGTCCGGCACATCTCAGCAAGGCCGGAAGACCAAGATGCAAACCACTGCCCCCTTTCCTCCCTCAGCCCGCCTCCTGCGGGGCCAACCTGTGTTCGTGGGCCAAGCATGAGACCCACTGCGTTTGGTCCTCACAAGGCGCCCCAGTCTCCACCTGGCAAGCGATCCAAGGGACCAGTGGTGAGAAGGCCAACCAGGCTGGACGTGTAGGCCCTGCCCTGGCATTTCCGTGACCCGGGGCGACCGCAGCCCCCGAAGGCTGGGTGTGTTGGGGGAGGTGGGAGGGGCCTCACCATCAGCCGGGCGTGGTTGATGTTCCAGGTGAAGGTGGTCATGGTCTGATTCTGTGGGTCCACAATCGAGTCCTCCAGGATGTACACCGAGTGAGCAACATTGGCAGGAAACAGTCGCTCCGCCCAGCGGGGCATCCTGTTGGTCTTGGTCAGAAGTCTCCGGGACAGAAGCTTCTGGTCAGGGGTGACCTCCCGGTGTACTATGTCTTCCGTCAAGACATGTTTGCTGCACACGCAGAGGAAAGGGCGATCCTTGCCCAGGAGGCCTGAGGCTGACAGGCGGCCTGTGGCCGGTTCCCCTTGCGGGGAGTTGGGGGGGGGGGGGTGTCCCACGGCTGGGCCTTCCCGCAGCCTGGCGCGTGATCTGTGAGGTGTCTCGGGGTCAAGAGTACCTTGAAACCTCCTATCCCGAGGGGGGGTGGGGGCAAATTCCGGCCCGCGCCTGCCCCGCCCTGACCATCCCCAGGACTTCGGCCCCCATCACCTGTGGCTCCACTAGAGGGCGCCCGGGGCCCCGGCCCGGATCCCTCCCCAGCTCGCGGGCCACCGCCTCTCCCTCACGCACCAGCCCGAGCAGACAGACCCGGGCGGGCGGGCGAGCGATCAGCCCGCAGCCCGGGAGAAGACGGCCCCGGCCCCGCCTCCCGGCCGCGCCGCAGATCGATCCCCGATCCCGCCCGGTCCCAGCCCCACGCTGCTCGGGAGCGGGTCTTCCGGGCCGAGCCGGGGTGGCTCCCCGCGGGCCCCGCCGCGTCCCCCGGCCCCGGCCCGGCCCCGCCGCGCCCCCCGGCCCCGGCCCGGCCCCGCCGCGCACCTGTAGGGGTTCGGGTACCGCTGCCAGAAGGCGGCGAACACTTGGTCCCAGGAACTTCGGAGCACGCTCTGGCCCAGGAAATACTTCACCATCGTCCCGGCCTGGGCGGGCTCAGCACCCGCGCAGCATCAGGGGTGCGGAGCCCGGGGGGCGCACGCGAGGGCCGGGCCGTGGCTCGGCGCACGGCCGCCGGGCTCGCCGCTCAGTCACCACCCGCGCCGCGCCCGTGGGGTGCCCGCCGCCGCCGCCGCCGCCGCCGCCATGAGGGAGTGTTCCGCCGCGCACCACTTCCGGCGCGGCCCGATGCGGGCCGCCACTTCCGGCGCCGCGCCACGTGACCCGGGGCCCCGCCCCCAGCCGCCCCCCCACCCCCCTCCGCCGGGCCGTCGCGGTGCTGCGGGTCGCAGCGGGCTGGCCCGGGACCCCGCCGCCGCCCCACCGGCCCCGGGTTCGACTGGGCCTCGGCCGGGGCGGGGCTGTGCGCGGCTCTGGGCGCCCCGGGCCGACGCGGGACCCCGGCGTGCGGGCGGCGGCCCCGGGAGCATGAGCGGGCAGCGCGTGGACGTCAAGGTGGTGATGCTGGGCAAGGAGTACGTGGGCAAGACCAGCCTGGTGGAGCGCTACGTGCACGACCGCTTCCTGGTGGGGCCGTACCAGAACGTGAGTGCCGGGCGCGGGGGGCCGGCGCCCGCCGCCGCCGCCGCGCTCACCGCCGCTCCCCTTGCAGACCATCGGCGCCGCCTTCGTGGCCAAGGTGATGTCCGTCGGGGACCGCACGGTGACGCTGGGCATCTGGGTGAGCGGAGCCGCCGCGGCCGCCGCGGGGGGCGGGGGCCCCGGGAAGCAGCCCTGGGTGGGGCGGGCCGAGGCCGGGGCCCGAGCCGCGCTCTGCCCGCCCCGCAGGACACGGCGGGCTCCGAGCGCTACGAGGCCATGAGCAGAATCTACTACCGGGGCGCCAAGGCGGCCATCGTGTGCTACGGTGAGGAGGGGGCCGGGGGCGCGCGCGGGCGGCCGGGGCCGGGCGCGCTCTGACCCCCGCTCGCCCCCGCCCAGACCTCACGGACAGCAGCAGCTTCGAGAGGGCCAAGTTCTGGGTGAAGGAGCTGCGCAGCCTGGAGGAGGTAGCGGGGGGGGGGGGGGGGGGGGCGGGGGGGGGTGCCCCGGGATCACGGCCGGCGGGGGGGGGGGGTGCCCCGGGATCACGGCCGGCGGGGGGGGGGGGGTTGTCCCGGGATCACGGCCGGCGGGGGGGGGGGTGTCCCGGGATCACGGCCGGCGGGGGGGGGGTGTCCCGGGATCACGGCCGGCGGGGGGGGGGGGTGCATCGGGAGCACGGCCGGCCGGCGGGGGGGGGTGCCCCGGGATCACGGCCGGCGGGGGGGGGGGTTGCCCCGGGATCACGGCCGGCCGGCGGGGGGGGGGGGGGTTGTCCCGGGGGCACGGCCGGCCGGCGGGGGGGGGGGTTGTCCCGGGGGCACGGCCGGGCGGGGGGGGGGGTTGTCCCGGGGGCACGGCCGGGCGGGGGGGGTGCATCGGGAGCACGGCCGGGCCGGGGTGGGGGGAGTGTCCCGGGGGGGGTGGGGGGGGTGTCCCGGGATCACGGCCGGGCCGGGGGGGGGGGGTGTCCCGGGATCACGGCCGGCGGGGGTGGGGGGGTGCATCGGGAGCACGGCCGGGCCGGGGTGGGGTGTCCCGGGGGCGGGGGGGTGCCCCGGGGTCACGGCCGGGCCGGGGGGGGGGGTGTCGGGGTGTGCGGATCACCCCCCCCCCCCCCGCGTTCTGCCCCAGGGCTGTCAGATCTACCTCTGTGGCACCAAGAGTGACCTGCTGGAGGAGGACCGGCGGCGCCGGCGGGTGGACTTCCACGATGTCCAGGACTACGCCGAAAGTAGCTGTGCCTCGGGCCCCGGGGGGACGGGGTGGGGGGGGGGGGGTCGGGGGGGGCTGCCCTGGCGCGTGCGCGTGCGCGCTGACCCGGTTCTCAGGCGGGAAGCCTTAGTCACCTCTCCCCGCAGACATCAAGGCCCAGCTCTTTGAGACGTCGAGCAAGACCGGCCAGAGCGTGGGTGAGCCCGGGCCCGGCGGGGCGGGGCGGGGCCGGGCCGGGCTCCCCCCCCCCCCCCCCCCCCCCCCCCCCCCCGCGTCCCCAGCGCCGCCGGCACCCCGCCCTCAACCTGAGTCTCTTCCTGCCAGACGAGCTCTTCCAGAAAGTCGGAGGATTACGTCAGCGTGGCCGGCTTCCAGGTGATGACAGGTGCGCTCCCCGCCCCCCGCCCGCCCCCGGTTCTCGGGCTTCTGCGCCCCCCACGGTGGCTCAGCTGCCCCCCCTCTCTTTGACAGAGGACAAGGGCGTGGATCTGGCGCAGAAGGCGAACCCCTACTTCTACAGCTGCTGCCACCACTGAGTCGCCGGTGCGCGGCCGGGGAGTGAGGGCGCGCGTCCCCGCGGCCGGCGCTGCCCGCCCGGCCCGGCCCGGGTGGCCCGAGGTCCGGAGCCACCCCGGGTCTCCCCGGCGGCGCTGGCCCGCGGGAGGGCGGCCCGGGCTGCCCGGGGCCGAGCTCTGCGCCCACAGACTATTTAAGTGGCTTCTGATCTGTAAATAAAATCAGTGCACTGTGACTCACCGCAGCCCCTCGCCCGGCGGGCGCCCGCGCATTGAGAGCCACGTCCCCTGGCCTCGGTGTCCCCTGGCCTCGGGGCTGTCCCCGGCGCGGCCTTCTAACCCACCTCCCCATCTCCACCTCATCTCCAGCTCCTTTTTTGTGGGTGAGCGCCTGGGCAAGGGCCGCGCCCCCCCTCCTTCCAGGTGCTTTGGAGGGGAGGGGACCCCCCCAGAGATGGCAAGGACAGTCGCTGGGCCTAAGCCCTGGGGTCCGGGCAGCACTGCTGCGTCCGCGGCCCCCGGGCCCAGGCCCCGGCGCCGGGATGGGAGCTTCCCAGGGGTTCTGTGATGGGTCCCGAAGCAGGCCCACGGCAGATTCCAATTCAGGCTGGAGGAGCTCACGGCCGATGGGAAAAAGAAAAGCCAACAGAAACCCTTCAGCCTGAGCTGCTCACTCTAAATAAAGCCCTGCTCAGAATCATGGATGCTCCAAGTGAATATTGCAGGGGCAAATGCTTTCGCAAGGAGTTAAGCAAAAATGTCCAATGTCTAAGGCGCCAGGCTGCCCAGCACGAGGAGACGCATCGCAGCCCTGTTCCTGTGAGGTGTGGCCAGCAGGGTGCAAACCCGGCGGGGCCCTGGCGCTCACCCCCAGCACCGGGGAAGCCAGGCCAGAGGACTATGGGTTGGAGAGCGGCCTGAGCTACACAGAAGTTCAAGGCTGGCCTGGATCACACACCTTGTGTTAGTCTTGTCAAGGGCTTTGCTTTCACTTCTTACTTCTTGGTTTCACTTCCTTAAGAACCAAATTCCTCAAAAGACCTTCCTTCTTTACCACCCGCCCCGCCCGGCCCTGGTGCCAGGTGCGTGGCCCCCGAGGGATCTCAGAGGACTCGGCCCCCTGGTGACCAGCCTGCTAGCAGCACTCAGCTCCGCTGGTGCCACAACTGCTCCACCCAAAGCAGTGGCCGGGCCTGGGCCCCCCCACAAAACACCACAGGGCACCGGGCAGAAGAGTAAAGTTAAACTTTACTTTACAGTATTTTTTTTTCTATATACAAAGAATTACAGTACATGTTTATGGGGACTCCTAGCACAGGGCTCCCCTCTTTTTCACTAGGAGTTCCATATCCAGCTGATGATCTGTAAGGACAGGGGTGGAAAATTGTGATGGATCTTGGTTGAGCCTCCCGCCCCTGTCCCCCTTTCTTAAAAATATATAGATCTCTTCTCAGTTTGCTTGCTTTGCCAAGACCTAGAATGCTGCTCTTTCCACGAGCTCCTGCTTGCTGCACCCACCGCCTTCCGCGCACACACACGCACGCGCACACACACACACCAAGCAGCGCCTCAGCCAGACGCCAGCTGCTCTGCTCATCCTGGAGCCCTAGTGCCCGAGCGCTGCTTCTCCACTCCCAGGACGGCCGCTCCCGAACCAGGCCTAGCCCCGGCCCGCACGGCCGATGCTCTCAAAGTCCAGGGAAGGCAGCGCTGGGGAGAAGACCACAGATGACTTTCACTCATGTTGGTAAGGAAACATTTCTGAAGTGGTGGGTTTCTAATTAAAATAAACTCTGTCCACTTCCTGAAGTCTCACCCCCCCCCCCCCCAATCTGCATGAGCGGCAGAGGTGCTCCCGTGACGTCATGGAGGGGCTTCCTCCGCCTGTGGAGGTTGGAGGGGGGAGCTGGGGGGCAAGGTGATCCCTGATAAAAGCCATTGCCACCCCGCCCCCCATCCTTCCTCCCACCCACCCCTGGACTGTGCGGGGCGGCGACAGGACTGGGCTCTGCCTTGTCCCTGCCCCTCTTCGCAAGAAACCCTCCTACATGAATAAAATCAAACCTTTCCTCCCGAACAGAAAGCCGGGACTCTTAAGTCACCAGTCCCTCAACACTTGGCAGTGCTTATTTATACCATGAAGTTAGCACCATCATTACTGTTTGTGTAGGAAGCGATGATCTACTCTATTGGGATTGCCACCACAGCAGCCTCAGGGGGGGGCCAGGAGCTGCTGGCCGGGGCTGACCCCCCGGAATGTCTAACAGAGAATCTGACAGGGTGCAGCTCCTCGTCTGCTGGGGCCTTAGGGGAAGTCACCTCCGCCCCCCCCCCCCCCCCACAAGAGAGTGACACTATCCCAAGAAAAGTCACCATGGGAGGGCGGGGTGGGCACGGGCCCTGCGGCTCTCCTGGCTGCTCTCCACGGGGAAGCGCCGGGCCCAGGCCTCCTCCGGCACTTTGGTTCCACTAGGCAACAACAGCAGAATTCAGCCAGGAAGTCCAGCGCGTGAGCTGAGCAGGCATGGCCGGGAAGGCTCGCTTGCTTCCTTCCCGGGCCGTAGTGTGGCGTGGAGGAGGTGACAGAACTCTACCAATGCTGAAGATGGGGGTGTGGTTCGGAGGATCAGACGAGGCGATTGTGAGAGGCGAGCACATGTCTGAAAGCACGGGTGCTGCAAAAGCGACGGCGGCCATCTTCGGCTAGCACGGGCTGGCTCGGGCAGGAGGGACGGATGGGTCTTTGCAGATTTCAGCAGTGGACGTGGCAGGGCTGGAGGGCTGTGGGGCACACTTCAGCTTTGGCTTGCCACTAGAAGTGCCCTCCGGGGAGCTGGCTTCACATCGCCCCATTCCCCAACAGCCACACAGCACTAGAAGTTTGTAGAAGACTTTCTTTTGGAACTGCCCGCTCACAGCTCTGGAAGGAAGGGCCTTAGCGCACGCAGGCTTCAGAAGTCTCAGAGGGGCTGCGGGATCGCCCTCTCCCCACCTTCACACGCACGTCGTTTGCCAGCCGTTGGCGCTCTGCTCCCAATTGCACTGTGACTCTTGCCATGATCTCGGTGACGCGATGGTGCATTCAGTGTCTTCGGCGGCTCGAACCTCATCTTTCCGTTCGGGAATCTGGGAGTCTTTCGGTGTCCCTGAACAGAAGCCTGGCTGTTTAGAAGAACTGCCCCCCCGCCCACCCCGCTACGATAGCGTGCACAGCGCAGAAGTTGTGCTCACAGGCAGATCTGGAGTGAAGCCTCCATGAATGTTGCAGAATGCGAAGAACCAAACAAAACCACCAAGTGGCCCATCTCAGCCCCCATCCCTCACTCCCTCTTGTCTGTGAGAAATTTCTAGATAGCTGTCAAAGCCAATCACCTAACCAAATCCTACCGGGGAGAAGCTAGTTCAGGATCAAACTTCTCCGTTAAAAATTGTATATAGCCTGCACCCCCCCACCAAAAGAATTCACAGTTTATTTCATGAGACAAAGAGCTACGGTAATCAAACACACAACAGTGAAGGATTCTGACGGAGCAGTGCAGGTATCGTTTTCCAATCACAACTACAGATGACAGGGAGCAAAGGGCACAGGACTGGCACCAGGCAAACCTACTCACACGACCTACGCGATTAGGAAAGGGGCTACTAGCTGCAGTTATATACTTATTATTCTCACACATGATAAATACTTAATATAATGAACTTTAATGTTCTGGATGAATTTCTTTAAAAATATCTTTCTTGTGGTTTAAAATCTTTAAAAACAAAATAAGATGCTTTATGCTTGCTCTTCCTTTTGAACGAAGAGCTTTTTCCTCTCTGCCAATGTGGGAGGAGAGAAGATAAAAGGGGGGAAGCAGGCAGGGGGAGCTCACGGAGGAGACCCCGAGGTCTCGTGAAGTGCGGGGACTGGCCTCGAAACCTGGGCCAGCCCTGCCTGAGCTCAAGTGTCTCAACCCCAGAGACAGACTTTGGGAAGTAAAAGCAGGTTCGATTCAGTTTTTATATAAAGCGCAAATGCTTCTGTAACAACTACTGTTTCTTCTCCTCGGAAGCGATGGGACTAACCTCGGTAGGCATGGAGGAGGAGGAGGAAACGAGAGAGAGAGAGAGAGAGAGAGAGAGAGAGAGAGAGAGAGAATCCGGTTGAGGAAGCAGAAGCCATAACCAAGACAGAAGAGTCAGGAGATGTCTGGGCCAGGAGATGGCCTGTTGAGTAAAGCTGCTGGCTGGTTGGCAAGAGAGAGGTAAACACATTCGGTCCAGGGACGGAGGGCGGGGTGCAGGAGAGAGCTAGCCACACAGCTTTTTTCTGTTGGCAGTCAGTGAGCTGGGGAAATGGTAGGGCAGGCTAGCACCAACAGATTTCCCAGCCCTTGGGCCCCAGCTCAGGGCAGCAGTAACAGATAATCAGCAGTTATGAGGAGTCGTCTCTGAGACTGGACATTGCTCCGGCCGCCACACTGCTCCAGTCTCGGGGAAGGGCTCTGGCTGGCCTTGCTTAGGCTAAGGTGGCAGCGGGAGCTCTCCGAGAGCTCAGCAGGGCCTGACTCGCCCCTTCTCTCAGTGAGGAGGGCGGAAGACGAGGCGAGGAGAGATTTTTTTTTTTTTTTCCATCTAGAGCTGGCGCTTTTCCTGACGCTGGAGCGTCCAGCTTGCCACACACTCCCTGTGCTCACTGCCCGAGGCTGCGATCTGAAAGCACCTGAGTGTTTGAGGAATCGGGGAGGGGGTGGGTTCATGGAAAAAGAGAAGAATCGGTGGAGAAGGAAGGGAAGCTTGCCCGTGACCCTGTCCACTGCGGGAAACCACCTTCTTAGAGCCCGGGTCGGCCTAGGACCCATTTCCAGACTGCGAGAGCGCACAGGGGCAGAGGCACACAGAGTGCTTCCGGCGGCTCGGAGGAGAGCAGTGTGGTACAGGAGCGTGCACACACCCATGCACACGACAACCAGGCAATACTGGCTCAACAGACACTTCTGCCCCCCCCCCCCCCCCGAGCCTCCCCTTGCAAATAAAAACTCGCCCCTCACTACTGCCTGCTGTTTCCTACTGCAGAGGGTCTAGACGACAGCCCGGAAAACACAGCGGGCAGGCGGGGCTGCGGGGCACGGGCCGAGGAGCTGCGTATTTTCCATCAGTGGCGGGGCCCGGCCCGGGACACATGAATGATCGGGACACTGCCCCCCATGTGAACGGGCGAGTGTCAGCTCCTCCCGAGGGTCCACTGGCCGCCCTCCACGGGCTCTGGCGGGCCGGGAGAAGGCTTTGAGAGCCTCTGCCCTCGCCAGGTTGACCAGCGGAAGTGAATTCCATGCTCGACTCCACAGTGGACTTTTTATTTTAAGTTGACCGCGGCAAAGCCGGGGCAGAGAGACAAGTGTGTGTCTCTGGCCGGGGCCCACTGATTTCCACACACGGTTCACACTCGCACAAGCCCGCGCTGGCTCCTGTCACCAGAGTTCGGAGAGCTGGGAGGTAAGAAAGGGTTAACAGTGGGGGGGGGGGGGGGAGGTCTGCTTTTCAAGAGGGAAAAAGATAAAATAAAAAAATGGAGCTTCCCTTTCCCGAGCGGCACGGGCACTGGCGCGGTGCGCTGGCACTTACGGGCATCACTTCTGCTCGCCGTCCGCTCGCTTGTGACTGCAAGGGGCCTGGTTGAGAGCGGGAAGTGGGCTTTTTTCTGCTTTGGGGTCTTGCCCT